TAGAACGAGAGGAAGCATTCTCACAGCTACGCGTATAACAATTTACTGATAAGACATAGAAGACCGCAGCACAGAGTTAGAAAGGAGAAGAAATACTACGAATAATATAATAATCAAAATAACTAATAAAGTACTGGAAACACATCATACCTTATGAGTTAATCATTCAGTAATTAATGTCAGTGATTTGTCAGGATTACGAACAAAAATACGACTGTTTCTAGTAATAACTCGTTTTTTCTGATTATCTTGAAATCGATCACGTGTACGATAGTACAGATTTAAAGCCAATGGTGTTAGATCTTCGACAATAGTGATATTTAGCTTTTTCCCTTTTAGTTGACCAAGAGACGATAATATATGTTGACGAACAGGTCGAGAATGGAAGCGAACGATAATAGGGCGGGGTTTGTTGCTATGAATTTACAGTCGGTAGACGATGACAATTTTCAATAATATTCACATTCATCCTGAGATCCATATGCGTATTGAGAAAATTCATCACACGACTTTTAACATTTTCATCTCTGCGCTCTTCGAAACCATAAAAACGAAAATTAAACGGCCGATTGTGTCGTTGTAAATCCTCGGTTCTTGCGTCAATTTTAGCTATTCGAGCTTCCAACGCATCAAGACGTTCACCAATCTGTTTAACAATGCCATCGTACATAACATCAACTATCTGCTGATTGAACGATGGAATCGGGATTAGTTTGAACAATATCAGCCACGGCACGTTGTAACATAAGATCAGATTTTAGTGCTTCAATAAACGTTGTTCTAACATCTTCTGGTGAGCGTTCGGATCTTAAACGCTTTACAGACGGAGGTACTCTGCTATTTTTCTGAGGTGTAGTACTGGTGAGGAGACTCGCCTGATCCTGTGTAGCCATTATATAATAAGTAAGTAAATTGATAGTATTTAATGATAGCTGTGCAAATATTTACCCGATCACAAGCGCAAACACATACAACCTTCCGACAATGAAAAATAGAGGAGAAAGCTGTTCTATAAACTGCATATTTGGTTTCTTGGTTCAAGGGAGCACCAAATCCGACTGGGTCCTTTTAGCTGCTGCTTTGTATTCCAGAAAAATTATCGTAGATTGTGGCGCCACAAACGCTCAACAGTTATTGTCTTAGTTTTAATTTTATAGCTTCATGTCAAGAACTAAAAAGGTGTACAAACACTTCCTGGAGATGCACCTTCACCAATACTACAACGCAAGATATGTAATGTAGCCCGAATAACTGTGTGATCCGACTCTTCCACGAATCGACTTTTTAGCGAAGGGATAATTGAAATGTGCGACTCTTCCGCTGATTGAAATGTGATGGCAATAAGCAGCGTGATAGTGACTGTGAAAAGAATTTTCTTCGCGGAAGAGTCGGTGTAACCACAAACTATCACTACAATAATAAAACAAAATAAATTGGTTGCGTATTATTCTACAAAATGATTCTTCCATCTTCTTTCAACAGTTCTGCCAGTGCTTCTATTCCTCTATCGGATATTCTATTCCATCCAAGGTTAAGCTGAGTGAGTGTGTTATTTACTTTCAACGCTTCTCCCAGTGCTGCGCTCCCTCTATCGGATATTCTGTTCTTTGCAAGAATAAGTTGAGTTAGAGTCTTATTTACTTTCAACATCTCTGCCAGTGCCTTACCTCCACTGTTGGACATTTCGTTATCTTCAAGATCTAGATGAGTAAGAGTTCGATTTACTTTCAACGCTTCTGCCAATACTTCGCTTCCCCTATCGGCTATTCTGTTCCATCCAAGACCAAGCTGAGTAAGAGTCTTATTTACTTTCAGCGCTTCTGCCAGTGCTTCGCTTCCCCTATCGGATATTCCGTTCCATCCAAGATCAAGCTGAGTAAGAGTCTTATTGAGTCTCAATGCCTCTGCCAGCATCTCACTTCCTCGAACGGATATTTTGTTGCTTTCAAGCTTAAGTTGAGTAAGAGTTTTATTTACTTTCAACGCTTCGGCCAGTGCTTCAGCTCCTCGAACAGATATCCTGTTCCTTCCAAGATTAAGCAGAGTGAGAGTCTTATTTACTTTTAACGCCACTGCGAACGCCTCACAACCTCTATTGGACATTTCGTTATCTTCAAGATCCAGATGAGTAAGAGTTCCATTTACTTTCAACGCTTTAGCCAGTGCTCTGCCTCCAATGTCGGATATTACGTTGTGTCGAAGATCAAGTTGAATGAGAGTCTTATTAACTTCCAGCACCTTGGCGATTATGGCGGTGGCTTGTTCGATAACCGTTTCTGTGTGAATGATATTTAAGTAGCCTCTGCTCGAACTAAATGTCAATGATGATAGTTGTGTCATAGAGGACAAGTGTTGGAGCACAACTTCGATCGGTCGTTCTCGATTGATGCTGTACAATGATAAGGAGCGAAGATTGACCATTGTGTTCTTGCGAAAGCAGTTGAAGAACAGATCAACGTCGTCGCAACACTCTCCGGACAAAGACAGAGAACGAACCTGCGCCGTTGACGGAAAGTGTTTGCAGACAAAGTCCCATTTGGGGCTGTTGCCATGAAACAAGTCAAATTGACGACTGCCTAGTAGACGATTGAAACGGTTATTTAATCCAAGGAATGAGTGTAGAATATCATAAGCTTCCAAATACTCGAATATTTCAAGAATGACTTCGTTCGCAAGTGATTGAAGCCTTGTCACGTCTAAACAAATGTGCAGTCTCTACAGTTCTGGTCTCTCGCTTCTATTATACGGAGAGAGGCTATGAAGCATGATTAAAACGGAATGAATGCTCTTGCTACGTGCATACTCTTTCTGGACCAAGAGTAACAGTGTCATATCGAGTGTGATATTTCTGAGTAGTAAGAACCGTTCTGTCCTCTTCGTTTGATAAGAATATATAGTCATCTATCAGAATTGTTACTGTACTCATGACCATGGATATCATCATTCTCTTTCACTACTATTCTCAGCATATTGCTGTCATCTTGTAAGCTTGCATGAACCACAATGACTTTGATTGAACAGCAGATAATCCACTTACTTTCCAGTGATTGCGTTAAACATCCATTGTTGCCATGAGTGCTGAACACTAGGTTCGATAGGTAATGCTGCGTCTGTTTGCATGATATTAAATCAACGTTCGTAGTCATTATCCTGCCAACTAAACAACAGAGAATTGAAAAGTCGCGAAGTTATTGTCAACAATGGCACTGAAACTGTTTTGATGGTAAACTCACGTGTTTATATTTTAACCGGAATGTTCTCTTTTCTGTCGTGATTACTGAACAGGAATGAAACTCATTGTTTGACTTGTGGTATACAAAATAAAGAGAAAATTGTAGCTACACAAAATAGCTTTTATGTAAAAGGATATTATATATAAGCCCCACTTTTGAAGCTTTTTTTGTATAAACTTTTTATTAATAAATAAGAGAAAAAACATAAGTAAATCGTATCGTGCTATCGGACGCAGAGCGCCCACTGTAAGCAACATAAAAACTGATAAATTCCAATGTTTGAATAATAATATCAAGTGAACAAAAGATAAAATAGAAGTGGTTAGACATTTTCCATTATTTACCACACTTTTAAGGATACCTGAA